TCTGGTTGTTCAGAGTACTCTACATTAAGACAACCTTTAGACTGCCATTAAAAACACCTTCACATACTACCAGGACATATGGATGCAAGGTATGAAAGAAAGAATATTTCTTATAATGGGGCCAAGGGGGACTCATAACAGATGCTTTGGAAGACAGAATATTAGTTACGCTGTGATATCATGAGGAAGGATGTCAAAAGCACTAGAAAACCCTGGACCCATAACAAGTAGGGCACAAATCACAGCATGACTATCCCTGGTGCCTGTCTGCAGGCAAGCAAGATACGGATTAGAGGAAGAAATCAGCTTTAATTACTGCCAGAACATCTCCTGGTAAGAGATTTAGAAACAGACCGCCATGTGGACTCAATCCCTGCTGCCAGCATGAACAGGTTGCCAGCATGGGCAACCTATTTCTGATGGGAAAGTCATTTTTACCAAGGAAGCGCAAACCCACGCGCTGAAGGGTTAGTCACCAAAACCGTAAGTCATTATCTGCCTTCTATACACAGTAGAGCTGCAAACCCACAAGGTTTGTGGTCTCTCATTAATTGGTATTTTGCTCTCAAAAGCAAAAAGGAAAGAGCCCAAAATTCTCTTCTCTGCCAAATGCAGCCCGAGACATACCAACTAAAGAGAAATCTGAGGAAAACAAACAAGAATGAGAACACATTTTATAACCACCTGTAACAGAGAATTGAAACCCTCAGTATAGGATGGGTGCCCAGGGAGCAGTACCACTGAAACTAGGGTTACTGACTAAGTTAAACTCCTGTCTTACAGGATGCCATGAGCCAGCAGTGTCTTTAGGCTGGCAGTGGCAATACCATGTGGCCTTGGAAGACAGCTCTGTGCCTGTTCTGCAACACAGGGGTCCAAAAAGAGATTTAAGCCCAGAATCAGTACTCCCAAAAACTCCTGCAATACTACTGCCACCAACAGCAAACAGGCTGTGAAGCAAAGAGCAGTCTTAAGGTTTTTCCAGTTAAGACTTCCAGCTAGCTGTCTACAGTTCTGCTTTTCTATATGTCTGGAACTGCCCAAGGCTGGGGTGGAAGTTGCATGCTGAGGGCTCATCATCTAAAAGCTGAGCCCTGGAGGAGCCATGTGCTGGAGCAAAGAATTCTTCCAGTACTTTCCTACCACTAGACTTTCTCTCCATATTAATTTCTTCTTCTTACTGTCTGTCACTCTCCCATAACCCAACCTCTTTCAGGACGTTACCTACTGTAAGCTAGAAAATTTCAGAAGTATATCTGCAAAATATTCTTTTTACTATTGCAAACAAATTGTGTTTTATTTTTAACAGCAGTGACAGGAAAAAACTTGCAAAACAGCAGCAAATCAGGGTGGTTTCAGTGACAAAAATTACTTTAGCTACACTCTGCTCAACTCAGCCCTGAAGAACTGGTACAGTTAAGAACAAGAGAGCTGGACTCATTTTTATTTTATGAGCCAATGTAATTGATGGCTAAGTTCCAATCAGTTACACTTCTGCAAACCCTACGCAACAGGTGTAGGAGCCCAAATTCAAAGATAACAGATGACACTGGCCAAGTTTATCCTTCAAAGTCTCAGCAACAGGCAAAGAAGGACAAGAGTCCAAATACTTTAGGCTAATCATGCTGACCTGGTAGTTAGAAACACAGTTCTAATCGTTATCTGAGCATCTTTGACACACAAATGGAATTGTAATATCCCAGCTAATATGAAAGAACAACCACTTCTTTCCTCAACTGCTAGACAGCCATAACTTCTCTCACACTTTTTGCATCATGCATTTGACATACATGCCTTCTCCTAGCAAGCCATTTGCAATTACTGCAGCACCTATTTGACAGGATGTTTACTTAATAGGCTTAATAAAAGTAAATTAATCCTATTTCTATCTAGGTACAGAGACCACCTGGAGAGCAATTTGCAGTGCAAAATAGGATGCCTATTAAGAAAGGGTCACCTGACTCTGCTTTCCAACTTTTGCACATTTTTTTCTGACAGTTAAACGTCACTCTATTTCCATGATTTATTTGGACACTGCCTACTGAAAGATGCAAAGGAAACACCAATTGAATTCTCTCATGACCTTCTACGTCTATTCCTCCACTGATGGAGAAAAGTCATCCATGAAAATGTCTGGCTGCTGAGAATGTCTTGTAAAGATCACAAAGCAAGTGAAAGCAGCTTTAACTTACCAGCGTGGAGGTTTCTCTGCATACAACACTGAAGTGGGGTGGATATGAAGTTCATGGTCATCACGGATAGTCCTTGAAAGCAAGATACTATTTCAGCCCGTGCGTCTATTTATTGCTTAACATTTGGTTCCTTTCATCCCCAGTAAGAATGTTTAATAAAAGGCAACAATGAAAGAGCTGGAGCAAATTAAAAACATTTGCATTTAATGAACAGGCTTTCAGATGAAACCAGGCTTAAATCTTGGCCAAAGGAAGAAATGATAATTTAATGTCCTAAAAGAGTTTTATCTATATTAAATGAACAAGTAGTGTTTCAGGCTTTTTTTCAGTGCACTGGGAGTGCTACAACAGACACTGTACTTGCTTGTATTAACACAAGCTAATTACTATTAGTAAGCTTCCCACTATCAATAACTCTAATTATTTATATTTGCCAAAGAGAAAAGATGAACATTGAAGCAGTTTGACAATACAAAACTTCAAAGATTTAGTAAATCAAACACCATGTGTTTCTTATTGCAGGTGTCTAGAGAAGCATCTGTTTGTTGATTATACTTAGATGTATCTAGTCAAAGGAGCTTTTAAACTAAGCAACAGTTGTAATGAAGCTATATATATTTACCTGTAAGCTCCGGTAGAGTGGAATTTAGCTGCGTTAGCAAAGAATCCAGAAACTATGCATCTCAAAACAGGATCTGGATCACCTGAAGAAAAGAATTTTTACGTAAAACGAGTCAATGGAATGGCAAAAATCCCTAAAATACCACTTAATCATCTCAGACAATTTTTCACACTGCATCAGGCTTTGATAGCAAAGGCTTGAAAGCAGACAAACCCTGCAATCTCTTTTGACTTCAATTTCACAGCAAATCAAAATTACTACGTAAAAAACTACTGTTGCCACTGGTGTCCCCATGAAGACAGTTTTGTGGTCCTTAAAGCAACCTGTGTGACAGCTAAGCACTGAAGTCTGATTTTTCAGAGCAGTTAGAGACAAGTGCTGAGAAGCAGTCATGGCATCCATGCATGCACAGCACAGCTGGAAATCAGATCCCAATGACTGTACATCATTTTGAACATACTAGAAAAACAGCTTTTTGAAAAGTCAAGAGAGGGAACGAGGTGACCTATTTATGACTCTTTTGGTAAGTCCGTCCATTAAATATAAAATCAGTGGTGATAATCTCTTGCTGGAAAACTTAATGAAGACTGAACTAAATGTTCATTGTAAAACTGGGCTAAAATGCTCGTCTGCAGTCATTTTTAGGGAATAAAATCTGGTTTTCATTAACATTACTTTTAGGCCAGGGAGAAAATACTTCAAAGGTTACAAGAAAATCAGGAAGCAGACTGACAATTTGGAGACTACCTTCAGTATGTATTGGACAACAGGTTAAAAAAACCATTTCACCTTCACTGGACTTCTTTGGCACTTTAAAGCGGACAAGAAGCTTTTTCAGCTGCTCTCTTACAACAGAAGCTCTAACAAGCCCTTTGTAGTTCAGAAAGTGTTCCTGACACCACTGAGAGCTCTTGCTGTGCTGCACGGTGAGAAGAATAGAAAAAATTACAATGAAATACCATCAGCAAAACAAAACCCAATCTCTTGGATCACATAGCCTTGCTCTGTTTTCCTTCTGTCTCCTACAACATATTTATTGTGGGTTTCCCTGAAAATTACCTGTTTACATAGCAACTAACAAGGGTACATAACACCAGTAACTACAAAACATGTTTCAAACAACATGTAAATAGCAGCAGAACAAATGCTATGGGGTATTTTCATACAGATGTGCTTAATTTCTTCATATGTGGTGAAAGAGAATAGCATCAGTCATTCCATTCTCACACACAAAAGCATGATATCAAAAAATAGTCTGTTTTCAATCTCAAAATGTAAACCTTTTCTGTACACTGTTTTCACTGGTCTTCTCTATGCAAAGAACTATTTCTCCAGAAGCCAGCACTTCCTCCAAGAGCCTCTGCATTTGGCTGTTTCTAAGAGAATTAGGCAGACATAAAATTTAAACGGCAAAGTTTCAGTTGGTGCCTCACTGATTGCTTTGGGGTTGGGGAGAGGGAAGAGGTCTTTTAAACACTTGAGTGGTTATACTGCTTCAACTCAACACTGTTGCAAATATATTATTACAGAAGTGCTTTATACCAGCAAAATATACTTCTCCCAAATAGGTATAGCACTTCAAAACCATTAAGTAAAACCTCAGCTTACAGAGAAGTATTCAGATTAGTGTTAAACCTCAGGGTAAATATATAAGGTCACTGAAAAAGAGGATATGATGATCAGTGAGGCAATTTTTTTAAAAAAGACTGCTAGATTTAGATGCAGTTTGTAATCAGAAAAATTCTGATACGTCTATACAAAAGATCAGAGAATATGAATTTCATTTGGAATCTGGATACCTGTTTTTCCTAGGCCCTTTCAAAAATGCCAGTCTCCTTGAAAATACAGTTGTCTACCCATAAGACTTCTGTGCTGTACCCAAACTAATTTCTTTCTACTCCCTGTTAAAAAGAACTACACAAAGTCTGTGGCAAAATATGATCAGAATATCTTTTAAAGCAGCATTATCACTTAATAGGCTTGGAAAGTCCTCAGCTTTGAGAATGCTATATTCAGAGCTTCCAGAATCAGAACTGAGGGCCTCAAGTGTTTCCCATTCCTGCAAATCCACGTACGCTTGAACTGACTTACTTTGACAAAGGCTTCGTAAACATTAAGCATAGTGAGATGATCACCTTCTTCCACAGCAAACTTTCTGTGTTGCCTGGCCTGGAGAAGAAGAAATATTTTTATAGGCAGACTGATTTTTGCAAAAATCATGTCCAATACACTCATCCATTCCCATCACGTCCGTATTTCCTGGTGACTATTAAAATTCTTACCATATAGGGTAGTTCCTCTAGGCAACAGCAATATTTTACTAGCCCACCTATATTCAGGAGCACTTCTAAAACTGAAATTATAAAAATGAACTGAAAATGAACCCCAAAAATTCAAGAGAGGGATGCATTAAAATTAGGCTACTGCTACCTATTAAGAATTTGCTACAACCTAATACTTTCTTTTTTGTTCCTCTTGAAAGGAAGTGGTGTTTGGGGAGGTTTGGTTTTTTTGGCAAACCCTTACACTGACCAATATTGGTTTACAACTTTTCATGTTTCTGGTCCTCAGAAGGAGGCTTTTAACACTAGTAAAGGACACCAAGGTTCCCACTGTTACTCAGTTTGTTCTTTTACCTATAACCAACAGGTATACTTCAAGACCTTGCTTCATTTTCATACAAACCTGCAATCTGTAATGGGTATCAATAAAATACTTGGCAGAAATCCCAAAACGTGGAACTAACAGAAAGAAAATGAGACATGACTGAACTTACAGCCTGAGCTTTTTGATTTGGAGGGATCACAAAAATGTTTTGAATCTGCATCATGGCAGCAATTGTCAAAATCTCCTGGGAGCAGCCAAAATTTCCTGAGGAGTGAGTGGAGAAATTCAGTAAAGGAAATCTTCTTCCATTCAACTTACCCCCATATAGAATAAAAAGGAAAAGCAGCAGAATGTATTTTTATAGTATATAAAAACAAAATACCAAAACAACTGGATTTTTTAGTATAACAGTGAATGTTTTTAATGGAAAACTTAAAAGACAAATGTGTTAGACTTATTAGTGTGTTAAATGTGTTAGACTTATTATTTATTAGAGAAGTCCATGAGTTTAACCAATTCTTTTCACTAAACACCATACCAAGATGAAGCATACAGTTTGTTTCAAGTTTAGCAAATGTCTAATTCTACATTACAATTACAAGAGTCAGTGTCCTTTACTCATCACAAGACTATGAAGAAAATCTGATTTTTTTTCCTCCTACCTGATTCCAGAAGCATCTTTGCAAACATAGGATTCAAAGGAAACTCTGCTATTCTCATTCCAAGAGGCTCTGTTAAACGGCAGTGCATATCCAAACCTGCAGCATATTAATAAATGTAGCTGTGATACAGGCAAAATAGCACAGAAAGTCTTCTTTAAGAATTTAATGTGTACTGAAGAGCAGAATTATGAGCTAAAATATAGCAAATGCACTTAAGAGTTGCTGAATGTATATTAAACTAAGCTTAAAGGCACTCCTTAATATCCATTTATTCTCCCATAAGTCACCAGTTTTTTTAGTTTGGGGTTTTGTTTTTTTTTTCCAAACACACTTGAACACACAAGTTTCTTCATTTTGACCAAGTTCCATTGCTACTGCCAATGATTTACAAAACCTGCAGTCAAAGTCAATGCAATGGCCAGAGTGCCTATTAGCTCTCAGACTTGTGCATCTCCTTTTTAAGTATTCAGCAACATCTTTGTTTGTAAGGACAGGAAGCAGAAGGAGTCCTGATGAGAATAAAAAAGTGCCTAATTATGGAACAGGCATAACTGTAGAAACAGGAAGCACTGCTGGGGGGTAGGATGTCATTTTTCTGAGTCACATCTGCTAAGGTCACGGAGAAAAATAATTTAACTTTAATATAATCTAAACTAGAGACGTACAGCTGATGAAGATTCTCTACAGTTTAGTCTGCCTCATGCATCCATAACTAAACTGTCAGCCATGTTGCAAATGTAACCTTTCTACTGGAGATGGTACAGGAGGTAAGCATGACAGCTTGCTTTTCGATTCCCAGTTATCAGTGAGCAACCCTGCACGTTTACCATTTTAGTTGTATGGCTTCCTACAGTCAAACACCTGCAGTAAGGTTTACCCATGCAAACCACCAGGTCATATTCTAATCCAGAGCACTATGCTGAAATTTCAGGGAATGATTTAAATGGAAAAGCATTTCCTTTGCAGGAGGACATAAGAACTAGAATAAAAAAAAAAAAAAAAGAATACAGACACAGGAAACAATAAGAAGAAAAGAGCTCGGTAAGAAAAGCAGCAAAGAGTGAGAATTGAAAGAGAAAAGAAAACTGCAAGTAAGCCAAGTTGTATGAGGTACAGGAGGCAGAGCACAAGAGAAAAGCTACACAAGGAGGGACTAACAAGAACCCAGTAACAGGACTTTGAGGCACTGTAGAGTGCATAAATAACCACAGCCGAGTGGACTGAGGAAACACAACTGTGGCCCACCCATTATATACATATTATTTGTCAAACTGTGTGGTGGCAAAAACCCACAGTTGTACTTCAGCTATGTTTCACGGAGAAAAGGAAAACCACAAATCAAGTCAAGGAATGAGAATCTCCTATAACTCATGTCAGCATATCTAAAACCACAGATACCTCTATCAAGTGTTTACTTTCCTTTATTATTTGATAGGCTATCATCTCACTTATTACGACAATGTAGTAATTCACTCACCACACCCCTACGCTGTTCAACAAAACCTAACAGGCATTTCACATAATGTCACAATATTTTCCTCAGAAACAGGCACAAAAGGCAGCTTATGTGAAATGATGACGTAATATATTTAAACACAAAGTCACAGAAACTGCACAAATTAAGGTATGATAGCTTTCATTTGAGCAGTGCAACATGAGAGTGTTAAGTGCTACCACAATTAATAGCTTAGAATACGCTGTCTTTCATCTCCAGAAAGATAACTGCTTTCCTAAGTAGGAAAAAGGAGACATTACCATATTTTTAACTTTCTACAGGTGCATCAAGCCAAATTTCTTTGGCTGCTGCTGAATCCTACAAATCTCAATGCAATTTTGCATGGATATTTACATAGATAGCTTGTGCACAGACGTCTTTGTAGTAGTAAGCCTGAATATACACAAAAGGCCTGCAATGGATACTAGTTTGGAATAGGTAAAAGTTTCCTTGAAATAATCTTGGAAGCAACCACTGTATCCATACATATATAGGAAATTGGAGATCTTAGAAACAGATACTGCAAAGAATTTTATTGAACATGCTCAGTAGAGATTAATCAAGTACTGTGGCACTAAAAAGTTTCAAGTAACAACTGCTAGTATGTGACAGGCTGAGGGATTAAAATGCTCTATTTTAAACTTAGGTAGAGTGGTTGTTTCTGATAGGTGACAACTTACAAACAAATCTTCAACAAAATCTTGGATCTGAAATAAAGCTAAAAATAAAGCCACTTTTTACCTGCTTATTTACCTCCTAAATTATGCTTAAAAACAATAAACTCCAACTGACAACTCAGACTTTGAAAGGGGCATCAAAGGAGAAGGCTGAGAAGAGATACTCTTGGTGTAATCAGTTTGCATCACTGTAAAAACAATCAGTCTAAAAAACAGTGATGTGTTTATTCAACAAAACTATCTCAGCCTTAAGAGCGTCTGCTCTGCACAAGTTACTCTGTTGGCACCGCATTGGCACAATAGGGTCCTGACCCTAAACTGCACATTTGCATGCTATTACAATGCAAATGATGAAATACATGTTGATACTTGCATAAGAGAAATGTAGTCCTTACTGCACCTGCAAACGCCTGGGCAGCTTCACCTCTGCAACTTATATAAAATCTCCATAATAAACCACCTAAAACCTTAAACTTCAGCAAAAACTGAAGAGCCAATCCATATATCACACACATGCACACGCATTTCTTTCCATCTTAAACACCAACATCAGCACTTTTCTCCTTTGCTATAAAAGCCGGGCAGCCAAGAGAGTAACAGCTCTGTACTTTTCTGTGAAGCTATCATGAGCATAAACACTTTTGCCAAAACATCAAACAGCTCATCAGTGAGTTTATTGACCTTTCCTTTCCATTTCCCGACAGTGGTTTTGGCTGTGAATTCATTCTTGCAGCGTACTTCTGAGCCACTGTGAAGGTCCTTGTTCCAAGCTTGAAAGGGTTGCCAAGAACCAAGTGCCTTAAGTGAAACCCTCCTTTGCAAGATGGAACTGAATTAGCACAGAGCAAAATCATGGCCAAGCAGAGAGTTACAGCTTCATGAGAATAAGAAGAGAGCAGACTGCCACAAGTTACAATACAGCATTTGTAAGTGATGTAAAAACATCCACAAACCTCTGGAAGCTTCCAAAACTTACACAATCTCCTTTACACTACCCTTTTCCTCATGTTTACATTATGGAGCAAATATTGTTAACTTTGAATTAACTACAAACACTGAGTTAAAGTCAAACAGAGTTTCATTTTGATTACCTGTTCTTGTGTCAATTTTCTGTTTTGTTTAAGTTTGTTGCATTCAAAAAGATTAAATAGCTGTCAAAAAAACCAACAACATAACAGTTCTTTCTATAAACAAAATTAGACAGCATACATTCCACTCACCACAACAAAAAGGAATTGACAACAGTGTATAAAAATATTACTACAGTGTGATTTGAGTTCTATAGGTATCCAACAGTGGCATAATGAATACAACCAAAATGAACACATTTAGAATCACAGAACCATAGAATATCTCAAGTTGGAAGGGACCCATAAGGATCATCGAGTTCAACTCCCTGCTCTTCGCAGGACTACCTAAAACTAAACCATATGACTAAGAGCGTTGTTCAGACTCTCTACTGAATTTGAGAACAAGCTGTGATTAGTAATTCAGAGAACATAATAAAAAAAGATATTCTATTAAGTAGCTAAATAGTAGAAAAGTATTTTGAATAATGCTCTCAGGGTCTGTTAGATTAGGTTTTTCTTCTTTTAATTAGAAGTTTGTGTATATCTGTTCATTTGTCCATAACCAGAAAGTTAAATGCAAAAACTAGAGCTGACTTTCTTTGCAAGCTGCATGCAAATGAGCTGCTATGCATTTAAAAGCATGAAAAGCAAGCAGGCCGTACACTGAAACACAGACACTGAGTGTGAGAAACGTAGTTCCAATTCATCCAGGAGAAAACGTGCTGCCTTTAGGAATGATCAGGGTTTTTTTTTAGTGGTTGCATCATGTATTCACAGCTAATAGAATCAGAACAGTTTGACTTGCTGCAGGTTTGAACTTCGTCTCAGCTGCAGGACCAACAACACTAACAACAATAGCACTACACTACATAAGGTGTAGTCTTTTAGCCATAAGCCATACTATATTCAGAGCAGAGACACAGACTAGAACTCATTCTTAAAATTATAAGTAGATTAGCTCTTAACAACTTTTGTCAGTCATACCTTCAAAATCGTATCAACGAGAAGACCCAAAACTAACTTGTGACACTTGCTTTGCTAAGCCATCGGGGAGCACTCTCTCTCTCTCAGGTTTAATTCTAGTGTCCAGTGACTGGCCTCTCCCAAATTCAAGCATCAGATTTTACTTAAAATGTTTAGGCAGAGTTCCTGCACACACATCAAGATCAGATAATGAATCAACATGCTAACAGAAAAATTTAAAATAGATACCCTATGCTTTTAAAAGTCTGACCAAGGAATAAACAAAGTAGCAAATACATTAAGCTTGCTAAATTCTAGGTTATTACAATCAGTCTGATTGTGAAAGAGCTGTCTAAACCTTTACTTTCAACTTACTTTGTTTATACTTGCAAGTGCTACATGTTTCCACCACTGGCACAGTAACACAAAATGAAAGATCACCACACTAACAGCTTGAGTATCTAACAACTTATCTAATTGAATGCAGGTAAATTTAGTGTCTAACTCATGTACTGGTTTAATTAGCGTCCGAACTCCGTCTGTATCTTCATACCACTCTGTAAGGACTGAAGAAACACAAACAAAAGATCTGCCTGAGAGAATCAAGCCAACACCCTCATCAGCTCAGAGCCCTCTCCCTAGCAAGGACAAATAGCTGGTTCCTCCCATGAAGGTGCAAGGAAATACACAGAAGATAGCTATAAAATACACATTTGCCCAATCTAAATAGTTAAATTCTAGTTTATACTCTACGCAATAGATTTCTAGTTCCTCCCAGAAAGTTATTGCTGCCTTTTGCTTGCTTACCTGTCTGAAATAACCAGAGGAAAAGAAAGTAAATTCAGAGGAGACTGAGGTACACTTTAAAAACATACCAACAAAAACCTTCCACCAGTCAAGGCTGCATTTTCTCTTTCTCAAAGCACAGTTCTCAAATGCAAGTGTAATTAATGTCCATCCAATCACCAAATCCAAATTAACAATTTTTTGCATAACTCCTGTATCATAACTATAAATAAAGCAAAGCATAATATTCTCACCTCCTAAAGCATACAGCAATTCTAAAGCTTGCACCATTGACTGTGCAGGAGGTGGCTGTGAAGAAAAAATGTGCATTGTTTAAAGTTATCATCATAGAACACATGAGTTTTCACAAAAATTCTTAGATCTTCCTCCTCCGCAAAATCCTTAAGTTCTAACTACCTACCTTTCTACTTACGCAAAATGAAGGAAGAGCTCTCAGACTCCTCCTGTCACCCTTCCACTGACCACCAGTGCTGCGAGTCAAAACCATCTCAACAGGCTCAGCATCATCACTACGATGCTCTCAAGATCCAAGCCAAAAAAGGCATACTTGCTTTGTCCAACAATGATGCCAGCAGTGATCAGAACAATTACTTAACTTTCTCTTCTAATGCCATACCATGTTAGTTTTTCACATCAATACAAGAGTAGCTAGAAACTTTACAGAAAGCAAATCTAAAAATTGGTACTGCTCTTTTTAAGAAGTCAGACAAGCACAGGTTTAGTTCTGTAGATATCAATTTTTTTTTCCTTTTTCTTCATAAATCCAGTGCAAAGGGACTACAGTTACAGTTTTGCAGAATCTCAGAATTTATCTTTTTAGACCTCTCTCGGCTTCTCAACACTTCTAACAGCAAACTCTAGAATACAAACACTTGTTGTTTCTAAGTTGTCACACACATTACTTACACTAGTTGATTCCCCAAATACATACTTTGCTGCCCGATAGTGGACAATGAGTTATGCTTTCCAAACTAACAGGGCAATGGTTCTGTGGTTCATCAACAAGTCATCTACTGATCTTTCTTCACACTAAGGAAAGATGACGGACTTTACAGCCTAGGACTCACCGAAAGAAAGGGGAACCTGAGCACATTGTCAATTCCCAAAGCCTTCAGCTGCAAGATGACAGGTGCAAGGTTACTGCGCTGCATCTCAGGAACGGTGGACTTCGGCAACTTCTCGAAGTCCTCCTCTGTGTGGGAAAGACCAAAGCAATTTGGGGCTGAGTTTCAACTCCCACTGTATGCAGTCAACATGATAGAATTGTACCCATTTCAAGTTAAAATTATTGAGTATGAATACTTAACAGGTGTTAAAAGAGCTCTAACTCAACGATGATCTTTCTCCAATTACTGTATGTTAAGATACTTTAATTTAAACAGAAAATTCAACGTTTTTGGCTACACTGCTGATTCTGTACTTGACCCACCCATATTTCAATTTGAAATGTTATAAATTCTTCACAGAAATCTGGAAATGCTTTATTTCTCTCCTGTTTAATATTTTTATACGAAAATAAAAGGCAGGGCGCAATACTACAAAAAAGCATTTTTTTAAAGAAGGGACATGGAAAAGTTCAAAACCAGCAAGCTTTCAGTATAAGAACGCTTTTTTAGTAACTACTCAAACAAAAGGAGGTTTAAAAAGCATATTTAAAATAAAGACTAAGGATTGAAAACCAATTTATTTAACAATGCCTTTTTAAAAGCACGTTCACTATAAAGTCTAAGTCTGGAAAAATACTTCATATAAGGTCCAAATCCCTCCACGTTCCACTAACCAACTCTTCTGCAGTAAAGAAAAGGCATACGCATCCCTATGTGGATCTAAAACTCCAAATCAAGACAAGAAATATATTATTTTCACCTGAATTATTTTCATTTCTAGACAGAAACCCTCTTCTATCTCTGGTCTATCTCAGACCTTCCCTAAGACAAAGACAGTGTATGTTTCCTCTACTTTTGTCCACTTGGTGTACTTTCTTCTTTTCTTCTTTTTTTCCTCCTTTAAAATGTTTCTTAAAGCTCTCATTAGGCCAGCTGTTGAGCACACAAAAATAACTTCAGTGTAGTCATGGTTTCTCCAGTAAAATACTTAAAAAGCTATGTAAGCTTGATATATTATGCAGCAGACATTCTCTCCTGATTCTTATTGGACACACAATTTTAGAGAATAAATCATGTCTTTGTTTAACGTGGCAACCGCTGGCAAGCAGACACACATTTTAAAAGAATATGCTTGATCTCTCTAAGTCTCAAAGCTCCAGCAAAACTAGAGGGAATTTGAGGCACATAAGCAATGGCACTGCTCAACTCGTTCAACAGCTGAGAACAGAGACAGTTGGATTGCGGCTTTCTGAACACTGCTAGGTGGCCAACAGATTTATTTGTAACAGTAATTTTTGTACAGTGCCAGGGTCATTGATTCAAGAGAAGCATTTGGGGTTCGCACCTATTCCCATGAAAAAGGGGACACAAAGAAGTTTTCCCTCAGTTATCTAAAGGATTTCCAGAGTCCTTTGTAAGATGCACAGTCTAAAGGAGACTTTAGTCACAGAAGACAGCATCGTAAGTGGATATTATAAATGGAAGCAACTGCTCAGAAACCAAGATGATAAAAAGATGAACTTCTTAGTAGACTTGCCACAGCTGCATTAACATTACAAGTTTGCAATTGCTGACAATCTCGTAGCACCTACCCTGCTCAGTTTGTGTTTCTGTTTCATAAAAGGATTCAGTGTACAACGCTTAGCACGTATGAACAATGTATTTCTAAATAAGCCAGAGGAATAGAAAAGGGAAATTTCTATCTCTCACCGAGAGAAAAAAAAATAGTTTTGTTCTTCTTTATCTAATACTAAAATCACTGTAAACCAAAAT